TTGGCAGCTGTAATAGCTGATGTGGACCTGCTGTCCTAACCCACCCATCCCACCCCAGGGGAGGACATCCATCACACAGTAATCTCGTGTGTGGGAAATTAACGTCTCCTGCCCCAACCCTGCAAGAGACGGGACCTCCATTTATTCGTCCCTATCCGAGAGGACTAGAATATCTAACCATTTCTTGATGTTATAGAAAGGTAGCAAATTCTTCTCAATTATTTTAAGACCTTGAGTGTTGATCCGGCCGGGGCTCGAACCCTCGACCTCCCGCACTATAGTCCAGCGCTCTATCCATTGAGCTAACCGAGAGCTACCCGTATTATTATATGGCCAGTCTTGTCTGTTCTGTTTCGCTATGCGAGCCAATTTGGTGTTGATATTCTCGAGGGTTTCCTCCGGTAAACTTACAACACATATTATTATTCAGGAACACGAGGCAGAATTCGAATGCCAGCCGCCAATGATTTATAGTTAGCATCGCGTGACAGAATAACAGAGGACGCGTTCTGTACGGAAAAAATGACTCTTGGGTTCTGTCAATAAATAATAAATTTCTACTGTATTTCATAGCTAAAATAGATTCTGACGGTCGTTCAGCTTTCTCTGCTGGAAAATTCTCGTTAAAAAGTAAGCAATTCTTTTGGCTAATGCAGGGTCTACGTTTTCGTACTCCGAAACTTGGTGTAATAAGAGACGATTGGCATAGTCACATGGAAAAACTAACGAAAAAGATCGCCTCTGGTATCGGGGCCCTAAAGCGAATTAGGCACCTGACCCAGCATCAACCTTACGTCCCATTTACCAAGCTTTAGTAAAACCTCTCTTTGATTACTGTGACATTGTTTGGGGTAGCTGTGGGAAAACGCTACGAGACAAACTGCAGAAATTGCAGAATAGAGCAGCCCGTGTGTTGACATTCTCTAACTATGATGCTGATGCAACTGAGCTACTCGAGTTTTTAAGGTGGAAAAATCTTGCGCGCCAGAAGGAAATCCATAAAGCCACTATGGTGTTTCGATGTCTGCACGGGCTAGCTCCAGGGTATCTGTATTAAAAGTTTACGTGGCGTGACTCTGCTTATGACCTCAGGGACTCTGAAAATAAGCTCAATGTTCCATGACCGCGCACTAATTATTACAGAAAAAGTTTTAGCTACAATGGCGCCACATTATGGAACAGTCTACCACGCGATATAAGGATCACGGAGTCTCTGGGGGTATTTAAACGTAAGATCAATGACATTCTTTAAGGCTAATGCACGGCATTCACGGAAAACAGCTTTAATGTTATAGTATGTAGTTTGAATTTTTAATATCTTAGCGTGTGTGATATATATTTTTATGGGCTGATGAATTGATCGTGTTTAAACACGAGTTCGTGGTTTTAAAGATTACATTACATTACATTACATTACATTACATTACATTACAATGCATTGGCCATTGGGGGCCCAAGTGGCGATCCCATGGCAACGCCATCGATTTGTTCGTACAGGTTGCCCTCGAACTGGAATAACTGGTGCTTTGTGGCAATATTCAACAGCTCTACCAGCTCTGCTTTTGTGATGCTGAGATTATGTTCTTTATTCAACCAGTCGTCCTGAAACGCTTTTTCAGCAAGGATAGCTATTGTTTCGTCGACAGGAACGTTGGTAAAGAGCGAGGTTACATCGTATGAAACAAGGACACAACGATCATCTACTTCCATATCGTGGAGAGCATCCACGAACTCAAAAATATCACTGATTGTGTGAATGTTGGTTGATAGTGGTTTGAGTTTTTCATCCAGCCACTTTGCTAACTTGAAATTATATGTCCCCATTGCGGATAAGATGGGGCGCATTGCTAACCGGCGCTTATGGGTTTTCGGTAAGCCATATAGGTGACCAAGCCTCGAACCTTTTTGAATAACTTGTTGGGCGATTTCTTTGGGTAATGTTCTTTGTGCGGCGGTGGCTAATTCTTTTTCTTTCTGTAATAGCGGATGATAGTGCTTTGGTGGTCGCCCGCTCATTTTTGGTCTTTTGGTACTCATAGATCTAAACTTGCTGTCATAGTTGATTGATGATTCCTTGAGGAGACGCACATATTCAGATTTGTTCATTACGACCACTCCTGATCCTTTATCGGGCTTAGTGATAACATAACAATGTCGGTTCGCTTCTTCAACTGGCCGATTGCTCTTAGTATTGATCTTGGTGGTGTAAGGATCTTACGTTCGGTGTAGTTCAAAGCAATAGACCTTAACGTAGTAGCTGCTAGTTCTTTGTTGACTTCGCTCAACTTCGGTTCTAATTTCCAGAAAGCCTTTTCAAACGCTACTTGGATCTCTTTAGATGAAACTCGCTGTGGAAGAGCGAAGTCAAGACCGCGACTTAATGCCAGTTTCTGAAGGAAGGAGAGCACGTGTGACGAGATGTTCTTGATGTGTTCGTTGATATCGGTGTTGCTTTTACAAAGAAGCCTAGAGATCTTTTTAACAGAAAATGATTACTCAACGAATTTTCTTGTGGCTTGGATATTTCTGATTGTGGAAGTAAAGTATTGCTAAACACTCATTAATGATGTCTCAGAACAAGAATTGATTCTCACCTCGCAGAAAAATTTGAAGCTTTCTCCCAGTAGGAATATCGGTATGTGATGCTAATGCCTAACGGAGATGCAAAAGAGGACTGTAAATTTTAAGCTTGGTGATCACTCCCACTGAACGAAGATGACAAAGGAAAAATTCTAGTTATCTTGAATTCTTCAAACCATCAGGACGAAAAACAAAGTGCTTCATTGTAAATTTTCGCAGTTTACGCCACCAGTTAATGAATGCATCAAGAAAGTCGTCTCGATCCGACCCTGATACGTGTTAACTATCGAGAGACAGTCGTTCTTTAGTGGGGAAAGAAACAAATAATGAAGAAACCTGATCTTGTGGCTGATTTGTTAACATTCATAAGACCTACATTTAAAACAAAATTCAAAACATTTTTATCCAAGAAATTCTCCATTACCCTTTGTTCTTAAAATTTTTCCAAGCTTAAGTCTACAATGCGGCCGTCTTTAAAATATCAGCTAAGATTCTCTTAATTATTCTACATAATTCTCATTCGTTTAAAGCGTATTGAGGTTACTAATAGACCACTTTCATAAATGGCTGCCGGATTAATATTGGTTTGTTTAAATTTAAATTAGCCCTTCTGGCCTCGCTTGAGATAATGTATTCTTTTGAATTTTGTGTACTGGAGAACGAGGCCAGAAGGGCTAATTTAATTTAAACAAAAGAATATTAATCCGGCAGCCATTTATGAAAGTGGTCTATGCGCTTGATAAGAACTACTGCGTCATCATCCTTATTATTATTATTATTATTATTATTGCTATGATTATTAGAAATGTTTATCGTTTTTTAAGTCACGGCACATATTGCTTTGATGGTGACATCTCCATTATCACCCCCATGGGCTGCCCTGTTGCCGCACGTGTGAGCTGTGTCAGCCCCAAAACCAATCGATGAGTTGCAGTCATTTTGTTCGTTGCCATTGATTCCGATTCTCGCTCTAAGATGAGAATTTAATCCTTCCCGGTTACAATTGGGTTGAAGCGAGGCCCGTGAATCAATCAGCTTCTTCCACGTGTTACGACCCAGTGAGGTTCCGCGGTAATTTCCATCAGCCATCAGTGAGTACAAAAACCCAGCCTGCTTGTTGATAACAATAAAGTTGATTTGTTGGCCGATCTTCATACCGAGACAGATTTTAGTGAAAGGCATGTTCCAGTAAGTTGGTAACTTGGTCTCTTGCGAGTCAAAGCCAGTCTTTCCTCCAGAGAGATTGTACTCGTTTTTGTCACTCCAGTAGGCCAAATTATAATGGAAAGTGTTCTGTAAAAGAAAGTAGATTCTTAAATACATTTTATCAATAGTTCAAGAAACCGAAGTATTTCCATATCACGTTTCACCCTCACAACCACTCAGTTAAATCCATCATTCTTAAAAACTTCAAATTACTTCAAAACGATCCAGAGACAAGCTCTATCTTTTCGCAGCCTCCGCTCATTTCATTCAAACGCGACAAAAACTTAGGCAATTTTTTGGTCAGAAGTTCTTTTCAGACTAATGAGCAACCAGGCACTTTTAAATGCGCTCGTGCACGATGCAAAACGTGTCCTTTCATTCACAACACTGATAAAATATCGGGACCTAAACGATCCATTAAGATCACCGATCACTTCACGTGCACCTCCGCTAATGTAATCTATTGCATAACTTGCACTTATTGCAAAAAGATATACATCGGCGAAACAGGCAGAAGACTAGGTGACCGATTCCGAGAACACCTTCGAGACGTGGAAAGGAATGACAAGGACACATCGAAACCAGTCGCTAGACATTTTAATTTACCTAATCATTCTAAGAATCTTGAACAAAAGCTCATCTTTCAAACCGGCAGTCTAAATCCCACAGGGATCAATGAACGCTTTTCATTCCACTAATTTATTCATGTTTTTCTCGTTGCCATGCACCCACCAATAACGTAGCTCCATTTTCTGCCTTTAAAAGCACACACAACCCACAATTCCTCTATTCGCTCCGACGAAGGGCTAACGCTCGAAACGTCAGCTTTTGTAATCATTACGGTGGCCAATTTACCATTTCAACTTTGTTGATATATCCAAATTATTTCGTTACTCCCACCGACGCAGCCCCAAACAGTTTCTTTCGAAACTATCAGCCTCTATTTCCATATCAATAATGTCCGCTTGTAAAATAAGAAATACATGGAATAGACCTATTACAAGTTCAGGCAAATGACGCCAACTGCGAGACAAAACTACAATAAGAATAAAGGCTGGTAGAATAAAAGATTTTATTTTCTTACACAATAGATTTCTATTCTTTTCCCCTCCGCATGGGTTTTTTTTTTTTTCACTGAAATGAAATGGATCTGTATGCGAAAATGATATGTTTCAACTGCGGTCGACTTTTAACAGAAAATCTATCTGTCCAAACTCGCCGTCCCTTTAGTTCTCTCATTGAAACTCGAGTAAAATGGATAAGTTTTTGTGGTAAGTGTCTTTGTGATAAGTGTCGTTAGTCTTTGTTATCTATGACTCCAAATTACACCACAGAACGCATCCATTTCGAATGAGAGGCTTCATGGGAACAGTGAGCACGTGCACTTTCACTTTAAGGAAGTAAACCGCTATTCAATTTATCTTTTTGCATTTTATTTTTGAAAACTTTCACCTTATAATTCCTTCGCAAAGTTTTCATAATTAAAACTTTTGAGTCCAATTAGCTCTTCGCCATGGTTACAATGCAACCTTGTTTTTTTTGTTTTAATTCTACTGATCTGGGAGGAAACCTATGATATTTGAAAATTACAATGTGGATCCTGTATCGGATTTTCGATTCTTAAATCATTGGACTGAAAATAAACGAGAATATAGGATTTTCAATTTGTCCACATGCACCCCAGTTGTTACCGTCTATCTTCATGACTGGTGTCCAGGCTCCATCTCGACATCCAAAATTTCCCCAGTGACAAAGAATGGAAATTGGTTTTGAGTCAAAGAACAGCGTAACCAGTTGAGTAACGTTTGATCTGTAAAATGAGTAATCGAGAAGACCCTTTAGTTTTCATTCAATGAAATTATATTCGTTGGCCCCTATTGTGGTCAAAGAGAATATTCCTTTCGACAAAGTATTTGCTTGCGAATGAGACGATTTCATGCTTTTACTTGTGGTCTACCAACGACATTTTTTTTTCGTAAACCAATGATGATGATACGAAGATTTTTTATTACCTTATCGCTCAGTCGGGAAAGGAAATGCATGACTGTTATTGCAGTGCAAAAGAATCAGGCGGCAATGAATAGAATAACCGTAGGCCCAGCTCAAATGTCACACTCAAAATGAGGCAAGTCTCTTCACTTGATTCGGGATTGGAAAATGAGTTCAATGTTTTGGAGAAAAAAGTTGAACCACTATTTGACCGTGGATGTCACATAGAAAGACAAAAGATGGACGTTGCCTAAGCCAGTGTGCGATCTCTACATATGCCAAATTTAATACATGAATTACTCTAACCTAGTGGTAGATGTAAGGAGTTTTCTGATCTGCGATTGAGCTGTGATGGCGTGGTCATCTATAGAACTCGATGCGCAGCTTACATGTTAAATACAACCCGGCTGATTATTAAAACCAAGGTTAGACTGCGTTCAAGGTGTCAATGGCAGCCTTCCTCTAATCCATTGTAAAATCAAGAGAACTGATTATTCAATGTTGTTCCTCCGAAAATCGTATGTGAAAGTTGTTTCGAGAGAGATTACGTGGCTCATTGTCAAATGAACAAAATTCCGTGCTATGGTCAGTCCAATCATGCAAATTATTAGAGGCAAGTGATCGGAAGACAGGAAAATAGAAGGACCCCAGGGTCCCCAGGCTTGACTCTTAAGTTCATTTCACGGGCCAGAAAACCCTTGCGCACTAATTCTTTCACGACGAGTTTTTGAAATGAAAACTGAATGAACTCTGAAGTTGAGTAGTGACAAAAAAAATTGCAACATAGAAGACGAGGGGAGGGGTTGAAGTCAGGGTATCTGCCGGATGAAATTGGTATATTATTCCAGAACAGCGCGATCTCATTGGTTATGTGTATTCTATTCTATCGCGGATTTTCCACTGGTTATCGGTGTTCAAATAAGTCCTGTTGTCTCAGAGTGGCAAATATAAAGTGGTCAAGCAAATTCTGAGTACGATTTTTCAGTAAATCTTGCGAATTTTCTCCTGTGAATCAAGTACTCTTGTATATTCTACTCGCTCGTCTTTGTTTTGTACTGTTTTGCATGCCTTTCTATAATCTAAATGAAGAAAAATTAAATTATCAGTCAAATCAGGAAGAGGTAACTGTGTAAAAACACTTTAACATCGATCGTTAATCATGATCTAACCAGAAATGAAATTAGGAATAATAGTGATAAATCGAACAACAACAAACATATGAAACATATGAAACATATGAGTGAACTGCGGTTATGAGACGTATATAAGAACGATCCTTCGCAGTAAAGCACTATTTGAGCAATAGTGGACAATAGGTCAGTGGACAATAG